GGGGGGGGGGGGAGAGGGAATGCTTTTTGGAATGAAGGTTTTATATCAAATCATTGCCATATATTAGTTACCAGTGTGCTGGATAGTGTATGTAGTTTATTGGGAGAGGTTACATGATAATTATTTCTGGAAGTAAGAGGGTTAAGTGGTGGTGATAAAGATAGCGTGGTTTCTAGAGCAGAATCTTCATCTAATTTTGCTAAATTTTCCATTAAGTATACAGAAATCATCATAGGATCTAATGCACTTGTGACACATTTTGAGAGTATTGCTCCTGAAAAATGTCATCAGTTTTTGTTAGTGACTGAATTTATTATATCCTCTCTTCTGTCAGGATGATAATAGACAACCAATAATTCCAGAGGAGTTGCATTCCCAGACCTCAGAGACAAAGATGGATGCTAAATTATGTCCATGTGATCCCAACTTGGTAGCTTTTATTCATCGTAATGATGTCTGGGTCAATAATATTGTCACAGAGGAAGAAAGGAGATTGACATACACAAATCAAGGTTCACCAAGTCCAATGGAGGAGCCTATATCAGCTGGTGTGGCTTCATTTATTGTTCAAGAGGAGTTTGATAGATATACTGGCTACTGGTGGCAGCCAAAATTTAGCACTGATGAAAGTAAGTACCAATCAAGAATATTTATGTTTGTTGCAGGGTCAAACAGTCATATCCGAGCATTGTAAGGGATGTCTATCAGTCACATCAATCAGTGTCTACGTAGTGGTATAATTCAGCTACTTCGCATCCTCCGAAGTATTGATCAGAAGGGCATGGCATCAGTCTCTATTTACATGGGCTCTTAAAATTTCTTTTTTTTTTTTTCCTGAGTATGTTCGTGCCATTGGCCAAATATTCTCATGTTTAATTTTGTTATTAGGTGTCAAATTTACCTTTTTCTTTGTGATAGTGAGAAGTTTAGTAATGTTGTGGTTTCCTACAGGGTTTTTGTCATGCAAACCAAGTTTAATAGCTTATCTATCTTGGGTATCTATAGCTCAGAAGTTAATCCCCTTGTTGAGACAGACAATCCCTGGGCAACTAGCTTTGTAATACAGAATGTCTGATGAACTGATTATCAGAGTGTATGACATACAAATGATTACCAAACAGACAACAAGAGGGGCTGGCTATTTCAATGTCAGATTCACTCACTAGTAATTAAAAATTATCTTCAAGGAGGCTATGACTGAGAATGACTGACAATTGACTCACTGTCAGAGTGACCCATTGAGAAATGATTGCCTAACTGACCAAAATAACTGAATGGCTGTTGAAATAACTGATTGACAAAATAACTGCCCAACAGACCAAAAGAATTCAGTGAATGATAAATATTCACTGATCAACAAATGACTCTCCAACAGATATTAACATGTAGGATGACAGACAAAGTTATTTTTTAGTTTTATTTTTTGTAAACAAACTTCACAGATGGGTTATCAGATAAACTAACTGAATGTTTGATCAACTGACTTTTAATTAATGAAAGACTAAAAGATTGATTTATAGAGACAAATTGACAGATTAACTAAACTACCAAGAGTCTTTCAAATATTAAAGTTCCAAACCCTTTAACCCTTAAGAGTGACTACTGACCATTTTCTCCTGTCAGCATCACTCCTAAAACAAACATTGAGGTCATGAGAATAAAGAAAATGATCACCAGCTAAAGATGCTCTTGATTATTAGACAAATTCTCTTTGTCATTACCACAGGAAATGTATAGAGAGTAGTGAGGAGAAAAATTAATGTTTAATGATGCAGTGTTCTCCCTTATTTTAAGCATGATAGGTAAAATAAATTTTCAAACCAGTAAAGCAATCCTTTTGCCTGTTGAATTTTCAAGAATTCAAGCAATTTTAAATGGTAATAAGAAGTAATACAGGCAGTAAATGTTACCGGTTACTGCCTGAAAAGGAGAACACTGATGATAATAGGGTGTAGAGGGTTATATGTAAGTCTGATTTTAATATTGTTGCTCATCATACATGTCACAGCACAGTTCATCAGGATTGCCTCTCAGTCTTATTCTGTACCTCCAGTGCATTATTTCCTATAAGGCTTTCTTAATTTTGTAGTCTAATACTTCACATGTATCTAAGAGAACAGAAATACATGAAAGAGAAAACAGAAAACATGGATCAAATGAACGCTAAATGTATAGGAGGTCATTCACATACATTTAGTTTGAATACTCATAATGTACAAGGAAGCTCAAAATTAATGCCATTTGTTTTATTTCCATAGACCTAACAAGAACTTACAGAATTTTATTTGAAGAGGTAATGAAAAACCTGTAATCCTTATATGTGATAACCAGGATTTGCACTTTGTTTTTTTTTGTGGCATATAATCTTTTTTATTAAACAAATTTTTTCTTCTTTTCACCAGGTGGATGAGAGCTCTGTAGAAATTCTTCACATTGTATCTGGTCCAGACAGTATGGTGCAAAATAGTCATGTAGATAGCTACAGATATCCTAGGGCAGGTATGAGAATTTTTTCCCTTGAACTATCCAATTTTGCTAAACTTTTCTTTTTACCAGGTTCTTATACAACATACTTCTAATTAGAAAGCTGCAGCTAGACTCAAATTTACTCCTGCAGCCAGATTGGGATTAGGGCCAGTCTTGTTGTTTTGAGAGGTAAAGCATGTGTGTCCCTGATCTCAAGGCAGAAGGGAGGGGAGGTGGGTTACACTGGAGGGCTTATCTGTAATGGAGAGTACAAGCTGAAGGAGAGCTTTTGATTTTCCAGAGTGACCATTAGTATTAGGTGTGTTTTATAGGCAAAACTTATTCCCAATGGGTGGTGCAATCATCACAGAAAAAGGAAGACTCAGTGCTCAGCCAATCAAAATACTTTTATTAAATACAGTAGTTTAATTTTTTTTTCAATCATAAGTTTCTTACGCTTAAAAAAAAATATGGCTTTTTTTAACTAGGCTCTGCCAATGCTAAATCCAAACTTAAAATTGTCCAGTTCAGTATTGATACAAGTGGCAAGGTAAGGTGACAACTTACATAATATGGAATCATAATGTTGACCTTAATTTACTTGCTTGAGCATAACTTGAAACTCAAATTGTGCAACTTGTGCAGAAAATCGAGTTTGTTCTTACTTTCTTCAGAGAAAACTTGAAAATCAATGTGAACATTTTCAGAGCTTCTTTTACCCTTACACTCCTAAAAGTGACTAACATCTAATTTCTCCTCACAATATCACACCTGAATCAAACATTAAGGTTATGAGAATTATGGAAATGATCACAAACTGGAGAAGCTCTTGATTTATAAATTTTCCTTGTCAGAACCCCAGGAAATGTATAGAGAACAGTATTAGAGAATATGCATACTAATGTTAGGATGTAAAGGGTTATAAGTCTCTGTTTTTCCAATTGTTCTGAGAATACATGTAGGTATATTTTTCTAAATTTGTCACAAAAATTGCTTTTCTTAGTTACTGGTAGATTAAGTTAACAGGTAATTTCCAAAATGACAAGATGCATCTTACTGATTTAAAATTGTTCGTAAGTGCATGAGTATAACTTTATAGAATGTATTCTTGAGTTTTAAGAACAAGTAATAATATTTGTATTGGTACTTTGGTTTTTGTTCCTTCAGATCTGTGATCATGTGATTGAATATCAGATGAGAGTTCCACTTTCAGAAGCATTTCCTTTTATGGAATACCTTGTGAGGTGTGGTTGGTTACCAGATGGTGAAAGGTTAGGCTTGTATCTTGAGTTACTTATCCCCATTTTCTTCTTTCTTTTTCTTTAATTTGTTAAAGTCTGTATAATCAATATGAAAGATTTGAGGATTTGTTTTTATTGGCCTGACTTGCAGTGTGTATGCAGAAATACTTGATAGAAGTCAGCAGCACCTTGCTTTGGTTCAAATCCCTGTAGCATTCTTTGTTCCTGTTAACCATCCAGCAAATCAGTTGTTGACAATAACGGAAGGCAGCCCTATGGTTGAAGTGTTAGCAGAGGAGTCAAATGATATATGGATAAATGTAAGTTAATCATTAACTTAACCATGATATTTCTTGTAATAAGAACCCTCTCCCAAATAAGCACCACTGTTCAAATAAGTGCCCTCTCCCAAATAAGCACCCACCCTCTTAAGCTGTAATGTTTCCTGGAACCCCTCTCAAATAAGGGGCCCCAACTCATCCCACACTTTCTTAAACAGTAAGGATACAAGTATAGATTGTAAAAGTTACTTTTTAAGCTTCAACTACGGCAGAATTGTTACAGGTCAAGTGCTTATCTGAGGGAATACAGTATTCAACTTACATGTTTGTGAGCCCCAGTCTTGGATCCAGCAGAAGGAAGAGACCCAGTACTTGAAAGTGACTTCAATTGTCTCAAAAGAATCTAAGATATAATACAGTCTCTTAATTCAGCAAGTATTTCAATCTATTTTCTTCCAGGTTGCTGAGCTCACTCACTTTTTACGCATGAATGATTCAAGATTGCAGTTCATCTGGTCTAGTGAAATATCAGGGTTCCGTCACCTTTATTTAGCAACTGCAAACAGTAATCACACACTTACACGAGCAAGGGCTGGTAGTTTTATTTCAGAGTGTTGTATCCATTATCCTCTTGTGACCCAGCGGCAATTAACAGATGGGGATTGGGAAGTTGATGGTAAAGAGGTAAGTAAATTAATGTAAAAAATATAAAGATATAATAAATACAATATAAATATAAATATAAAAATGTTAATGCAAGTTTACCAATTTTCAGATTTGGGTGGATGAAAATCGCAAACTTATTTACTTTATGGGCACCAAAGACACACCCCTGGAACAGCATCTGTGAGTATCATACTTTATTACTAATATCTCTCGGTTAATATGTGCATTACGGTTGGTCAATTTAGCAGGCTGTGTTTCAATGTGCAACCCACTTAACTCAAAAAATTGTTTGAATTTAAATTTTTCCCAAACTCTGAAGTAAAACTTGTTACTCTCTCCTCACCTGTGCACCTTTTTTTTTTTTTTGTTGTGCTTTCACTGCTTAGCTGGCAATCAAATTAATTTCAACTTTCTGCACTGTTCTCAGCCAATGAGCATGCTAAATTTTTGCATGTGTAATCCAATTTCACTTGATTTTATGCTTTAAATAGAGAAAAATAATTTTTTTCAGATATGTGGTTTCATATGCAGAGTCTTACTTCATGGAGCCACAGCGCCTAACCCAAAAAGGGTTTTCCCATGCAGTCTCTCTAAACGAGGTAAAGGAAACCAATTATGTGACTTGCTTTTTATAGTTGTTTGCATTGTAGACAATTTTGACTACCATATGAAAACCAAAATTTCCATTTTTCTAGATCTTCCTCTTCAGTTCATTAAACATCATTAAAATCTACAAATTTAGAATAATAATTTATTAATTTAGTAAATGTTTAATTTCCTTTCAGAGTTTTACTAAATTTGTCACAGTTTATTCCTCTATACAACAAACACAAGCTGTGATGGTTTATCAAATGCATCATGATGAAGTAGAGATGAACAATGTACCCCTCATCACAGTTGAACCAATTGCTGAATTGCTGAGGGCAAATGGTATGAATTGCTTGCTTAGTTAGAACCATTGATCTTGTGGGTGTAACTCCTTGCAGCCTGATGACATTGTCATGTGAAATCTGTTTGTGGCACTAAGGTTAATTATATAGATAAGTGGCAGTTACAAAGCAAACTCATGCGAGATAATTATCAGCACAAGGGGTTAACTTTTTACCCAAAGGCAGTCATGTAATGTTCTGTTCATTGTATTCCAAATATTAGTCAGTTTTTAAACACATTTTAAGGTTTTCAATTGCCTAGATCACCTAGTATATAAATATACATGAAATTTTAGCTCCTGGAAACACTACCTCAGCCTTTTTACACACATTGCACAGTATACACATAAATTTTGATGATCATTAGTGATGTTTTAGAACCAGGAGATTAAGACAGATATGTTGTTGAAATGTAGATCATTAAAATTGATAATAGCTAAAATGTATTAAGTTCATTATCCATTATATTTGATAGAGTTGATGACAGGGCACAGTATGTCAGTTTGCCAAGAGATTTTTTTTTTCCCTAGTTATCCCAGATTACCAGCCACCAGAACTTTTCTCTTATGAAAGCAAGCATGGTAAGTTGAAAAGATAAACCTCATGAAGTACATGTACCATGTAATAGATGTTTCATGGGGAACATGATATGTTGCAAGTTTTGCTGGGTTTCAGGTTTTTGTGTGTGCATTGTTGCATACTATAATTATTGGCATTGTTCTGTTTTTTATTTTTTTTCCTCTTTTTATGTATGTTTGTATGTATGTAGTGTGTCTGTACTTTTTATCATGGGAAAGCCTAAAATTATTTCTATCTTTAGAAACTACAAATTTTTATTCTTTATAGAACATATTGTAAATTGCAGGCTACTGGATGGGTTGCTACAATTTTTGTAGTTTGTTTTACTTCAATGTACTCAGTCTGTGTATTTTGGGCTTATTCTTTGGGCTATGATGCAAAGCTTGTGCGTAAAAATTAATGGTAATGCCTGAAGCCTTAAATTAGCCTCACATCTGGCTGTATACTATTGTAGGCACACCAAATAACTCAATAAAAACAAAACCAAATAAAAGTCGTGGAAGTGTATCAATAGTGTCAGACTCTCATATCTACAGTTGAGTAATAGTTGTTTACATGTTCTCCCAGTCAGATTATCTCATTGTGACAAGCTTTGATTGTACATGAAATTTGTCTGTCTTGTGAGTTTTTTCAAGTTTCTGTGGGTACCAAGGGTTGTTAAATAAGAAATTGCTAAAATAGGTCATTCTTATCAGGACATCAGGTGTATGGAATGATGTTCAAACCTCCCTCAATCCAACCTGGAGTCAAATATCCAACTGTTCTTTATTTGTATGGAGGACCTCATGTTCAGGTAAAGAAACCAAAATTTATCTCAACATTAAGTACAACTTGAAAGCCAAATAGTTATCTTTAGATTCTATTTTTTAATTTCTTACAGTAAATGAAGGGAACAAGCAGTGTCCCATACATGGATATATTTGTTAACAGTTTTAAGCTACATCTATTTTTGTTGTCTCCTTATAGTATTTCTTGTTGTTAATAGTCCATTTTACAGTTGTGTGCTTGGTTGCCAAGCCTTTGAACAGGAAT